TTTCCACTTAAATGGAAGTTTTAGCTTTTTTTTTTTTTTTTTTTTTTTGTCTTTTGAAGATACAGAGGGGAAAAAAGAACTCACAATCCCCAAATTTTTGTGATGAGGATAAATATACCACCCCTGCCATTTGAGATGAATCTCAATCTTTCTCTACTATAATGTTGCTATCACAGCTTGAAAAATCTTACCATAACCCAAATTTTTCTGAATTACACTGCTGCAGAGTGAAAATACCCCAAGTAAATAGATGGAGCATTCCTCTTATTCTAATTTTGTCATTTATTTAATAGTGCAGGATGATGGCTGAGACCGTAGTTTCACAAGACACTGGTTTTGATAGGGAGGTCTCCACAAGAATTTGTTACCCTTTCCCCACATTTACCCCTCCTTTTCTGATGCAGTTTCCTTTCCTAAGTTAGACTTATACTGATAGGACCTTGATTTTTCTTTCCCCAATGTTAAACTCAGACTAGTTCAGCATGTGAGTTAACAGACTGCTCCTGCAAGAACTGGGACAACTCTGATACCAGAAGGAGCTGAATAAGGATGAGGTGGAAATGGGTACCCAGGGCGTTTCCCGCTGTTTTTGTTGGTGCACCTGGTTTTCTGATGCTGTGGGCAGAGGTGGCATGTAGGTGCAGTGTGTGACGTCTAGCACTGCTGCTACAGGGCAGCCAGCTAACAAGTGTGAAATTAAGCACAGGTGATAGCTTGCTGCTTCTAAGTTTTAGTAAATGAGAGAGAAAGGTGAGAAGAAACAACACAGTTAACTTTTCTTCTAGGACCTAGTTTTACACCTTCACCCTATTAAGCCTAATTGCTCTTTTTAGGTTCCTCTGAAAATAACCATTTTCTGTTCAGATAAAATGTTTGTTATCACCCCGTGAGAAGGGAGGTTCTTGACTGTCCAATTTAGCTTCAGGCCTTAGTCATAGAGTCATCCTTCTTGCTCCCAGAACTTTTGTCAGCTGTTGTTATCATGCAAATAGTACCACAGCCAGGCCAATTTTGTAAATTGTCCAGATGAATGAGTTATATGAGCAAATGTTGTTTGAATTACAGATGGATAGCTGGGGATCTTTTTCTTTTGCATATCTGAATACATTTTTATGAATTGTGCTGTCTATCTTGATATTTGGATAATGGATGTCATCTCTTTGAAATAGCTGTGTTAGAATGGTATCCCTCTCTCCTGCCTGCTCATGTTCTGGGTCTTTCCTGGAGCAAGGCATGGATGCCTATGGGACATATATGTTAGCATCCTAAAAAGCATGCCTCAGAAAACAAAAGGTTAGAGAATTTTCCCTTGGGTTTGTAATCCAAAGAGGCTGATGAAGGACTCCAGTAAGCAACAAAGACAGTGCAAAGGAGTGGGCATGATCGCATAATCCAAGGTAGAAGAGGAGTGAGAGACGAGATGTGGGGAGAAGGCAGCAAGCTGACAGGACAGCCCTGCAGATGTGCAGCCTCAGAGCACAGTTTTGCTGAGTTTCCTTTGGCACTGTTGAAGGTTGCTGCTGAGTGACCCAGCCCAGCTCACTCTACAGTGGATTCTGGTGTTTTTCTGTCTGACTTTTCCATTAGAACCAGAACAGATAATCATGTAGTCTCATAATGTATAGTTTGGTGGGCTAGTTCAGATGAGGAACCAGCTCGTAGCCTCCTAGTCACTAGATCAGACATGAATGAAGCAGGAATATATGGACAGATGTGGGAATCTTCTGTGGCAGCAGCCTCATTCAAAGTAGATTAAACGTCAAACAAGGCCAGATCCAAATGTTTCCTTTTGCCTTTGTGTTGATTTTCTCTCATCTTCCTGTAATTTCATGTCTGTGATCTGCTACTTCAGCAGAGGCCTTTTCATCACTGAGTAGAGGAAGTCTTCCATTAATTCTTCCATGGTGCCTTTTTATTTTTTTTTCCCCCGGTCTCCCTGAAACAAGCTACAGCTTTGATACAGTTTCACCACAGGTCCCGGACTATTTTATACAGGTCTAATCTGGGTCTGTTATACCCAGTTTTATTTAATTTTTCCATTTTAAGTGCAGCACTTTGCACTTGCCTCTGTTGAATTTCACCTCGCTGTTTTGAGCCCATTTCTCCAGTGTATCAAGGTCATTTCAAATTAGGATCTCTCTGCCCAAGTACTCAGTCTCCCTATTTGTTTGTTGCTCTATACCAACCTTATGAAAGTAGCTTAAACTGTTAATGTGAATTCCAACTGAATTCCACCAATCCCTCCAGCAGTTTGAAGAGCTCTTCTATTCTGAATGTCAGTCATGGGTAACTACTCAATAAGTAGAGTTTTTCAACCAGCTATGTACTCATTTACAAGTGATTTCATCTACAAATACTAGCTAGCTTTCTTCAAAGAATATTGTCTGGCCAGTACTTCTGTACATAAGGAAAGGTTTTGTGGAAGTCTAGGTACAAGAGTCTTGATATAAATACAGGTACCTAGTATCTATTCTCAGGTTATAATATATTAGTCATCTAGTTCAGAAGTAGCAACTGTACTATGCTGTTCAGCTAGTCAAAGGAACATTTGAAACATATTCTGAAAAATATTAAAAATGAGAAGCTTTTCATAGAGATCTCTCAAATGATGAGAGAAAAGATTAAATGTATCTTGAATCTTTTGCTATGAATATTCACCCTTGGGTGTGACTCACTTTTCTTCCAAGAGGTTATCTTAATTGTACTTCGTATATTTCTAAGAACAGTTCCAAACACAGAGGCTATAAATTTGCCACTTGTCAGTTTGGGCTTTATGTAAAACGTGCATCTGGTTTTCTGCCGACACCCTGAAGCTGTGATTCTTGACAGGGGGGTTGTATTTGTAGGTATCCAGGCAGGAGGTCATGTTTAGAGTCTGAATCAAAGCATAGTACCAATGATTTATAATAAACCTATTCTATTTGGGTCACCTATGGTTTAACTTGCTGTCTGTTGAATGGATTTGTTTTGTATTACAGATTTTTAAACATATAGCAATGATTTGCTATGATGGCAATTATTTTAGCCTTAATGTGCCAGCTATCCAGAAATGGCAGTATTATTCCAGAAGTTATACTGGAATCACCCTTTCAGAGCACCGCAGTGACTTTTAAGAAGTGTTTATTTGTGTTAATGTTTTTCAATTGTTTTCTTGGACATAGTGGATATTTTTTTCCATTTAAGGTAGAGATTTTGGAATAGAATATTTTTTTAGATAGCTAAATTAGCTATTATCCATGGGAGTTGTAATCTGTCTACTGCTATCTCATCTGAAGAGCTGCCCAGTGGTTCCTACCAAGATAAAAAATTTACAAAGACCATTTCAAACTCTGACTTAATTGTTTTGATATAGAGCAGTATATATCCAGCCCAGGTTTTGCAACTATTTCTTGTTAGGTCTCCCTGAGAAAAACTGAGGTTTTTTTTTTTCCCCTCCTCCCCACACAGTAGTTTCCCTTATGCATCATGCAGCTAATATAGATTCTATCAAAAAGCATGATTTGTGATGTTTGTGCGTTACTGTTTACTTAAAAGTGCTAAAACCACCTTTTCTTATCAACAGGAAACTTTCAAGATATTTAAAAGCATGCCTTTAAACCTTCTGGCAGCAATAAAGCAAAAATGGCAGGTGGCTGTATGAAAGAGGTAGGATATGTTTATACTATAACTAACCATAAGGGAGGCAAAAAAAATTATACTGTGTACAGCAGGCTGAAGACTCATCTCAGTTACAAAGATGCAAATCCAGACTAATACTCTATTGACATCAATGTGTTAAAAAAACTAAGACTTTATCTCAGGCTGTGAGTATAATATTAGGTTGCACTTGCTCTGTAATAAATTTGTTTGGGTGAGGAAGGACAAAGGACTTGTTTTCTCATCTTTCTGCTGAACTAGAAATGAGTATGCGTTTCTTTTCATTTCCAGTGTACCAAATTTAAGATGATATTTTTCAAGAGTATTAAGTGATTTAAGCATGTGCATTTCTCAGTTATAAGGCTGAAACTTCAATATTGCTTGGATGCTTCTTTCATGAAACTTGGATGCAACTTTAATATTGCTTGGATGCTTCTTTCATGTTGGATGCGATTGTTTTTCTTTATACTGTCTATTTTTGTTCCAGTGGTTAGAGCACAATTGAAGACAAAGCAAATAAGTGCTTTCTTCTAACCCTTACTGGTGCAGACCTAAGCCTGATTCAGTGATTAAAACTAGACTAGCATTCTTTGTGCTTTACTTCTGTATGGTGGTAATAGCGGTCTTAAAGGTTATAGTGCTGTATCTTAGTATCTTTAAAGAAAAAGTATTCCTAGAAAGTATTTCTTCTTTGTAGAAAGGATGAAATGTCTATGGCATGGAAAAGATGAAAGATGCAGGCTTTCATTGAAAATTAAAAGCTAAATTCTCTTCTCAGATAAGCATTTTAGAAGAAAAATGCCATAGCTCCCGTCTGCCTAGACCTAGCAAATCCATAGCAGACACAAGTTAGACCTCCAAAATATGTAAAACAACAGCTATCTTGATAAGGTAATGCTGCAGATCAGAAGCAGTTACCAGTGTACATATATACCAGATCCATCAGTAAGAGTGGTAAATAAAGTCTAGCCATTTTATTTTATTATTTTATTTTACCTTGGCAAAGCCTAGGAGCCATTTTCAAAGAAAATCTTGGCTTCATTGTTCTGCATTTGTTTTGTATTGTGCTTAGGTAGAATGAAGTCTTTAAGGGAATTTAGGATTATCTGAATCTCTGATTTGGTGGAGCCTATGTACCACATAAAAGATATTTATTCTTTTAGCTGGCTGTGAAAAAGGAAGCGGCATCACACTTGTTTAGATGCCAAAGGCCTCTTCTGTTACAGCATGATTGTTCCTGGTAAAAAAATAAAAAAATAAAAATAAAAAATAAAAGTGCCCCCAAAGACTTGAAAAGTAGTAGTTTAACAAGCTGCATTATTTCAACTGTTTTCCACCCCGGTCTTTTCTATGTAGTAAACGCCTTGGTGCTGGTGACCAGAGTGACACTGGAGGCAGCAGACTATGACACATTGCAGGCATTCCCCTAACTGATTTTTATCCAGTGACTTTGAGTGCAAGTGCAAGCTGAATTGTGCAAGGTAGCTCTTACTCCCTTTCTCTTTCCAGGGGGTCAACTGCTTATGAAGAATATCTATTATTTATACCTTTCAAGAGAATTACATCAGCAGGAACGTAGGTATTCATGTAATGCAGCTGCAAACGACCATGCAAAGACACACTGCTTTAAATATGTATGTGAAATACAATATACCATGTTCTGTATTGACTTAAGTCTGTTACGTTGTTGACTTCAGCAGGAATGCACTGGTTTTAAGTGAATAATTTTAGCTCAGTGGATCTAATAAGTGCCTGATTCAGCTACCACATTAGAGTTGCAATTATATATCTACCTACATGTGATGCATAGGTTTAGGGCTTCACTCCCTTATTCCTCTGCTGGTGTTAAGAATGACCTGTGGCATCATGCTGTTGTCCCAAATGTGTATTGTGTACACACTTTGGGTTATCATGTCCTTCCAGGAGATGAGGTGGGACCTCTAAGGAGCAGGTTTTGTATGTTGCAGTGATTTACCCCTGTCTGCTGACCAAGAAACACCTTGGCCTTCGTTACAGAAATCAAATTTACATCTCTGGTGGTAATGGAAACCTAAACATGGTTTCATGCTGACCTCTGCCTCTGACCTGTGGCATTAGTTATCCTCAGCAACCACATTTTGCTTGGCTAAATTAATCAATGGCCCTGTTAGGGCAGGTCCCTTTATTTTCTCAGTGAAGAAACTGCATCACATTAGCTACGAGCCAGTTTCAAACCTTTCATTTTGGAGTATGCTCAGGGAGAGACTAGTCAGAGAGGAAACTGGAATCAATACACTAGGCTAGCACAATCTGTATTTCAGGTCAGCACGTGGAGAGAAAAAAATGGCATTTGTGAACTCATGGCCAGTGATCTGCTGTTTCTGGGTGAAGGGCAGACTTTTATCCTCAATCTCCTGGACCTGTCTGCAGCAATCGACCCAAGGAAGCTACAGACAGCAGTTTGCACAAGGGCTAGGGGGATTCGCCTCAGATTGTTGTAAGCCTTATTGAGAGACACATCCAAACCACCGACTTCAGATCTCTCTAGTCATGAAGTCCTCTAAGGATCAATTATCTTTGTAGCCTTTTTAGTAGCTAAAGCAGTCAGTAAGAGAAAGAGTTAAAACATGACAGACATAAATGCTAGCAGATTGACGCATATCAAGCAAATGGGCAAAGTGTTTGCCAGTTCCAGAAGCTAAGGGAATGATAAGAGGAAGCAATAGCATAGATGAAAATGAGTAGACTTGCTCCTGAAACAGTCTCTTGTATAGGCTTTCTGGTGATTGACATTCTGTTTTAATTTCAGTCCAAGTTAGAAATTCATTCCTGATTTTGAACTGTGATTTCAATACCATAAGAACATCTCCTGGCATAGAAGTAGGACTTTGTAGGCAAACTTTTTTGTTTTGACTGGGAGCTTGTAACCACCACTGTCCTATAGCCTGAAAGTAGTCTGTCTTCACTAGGCCTCATGATGATAATTTTCAGTGAGAAGGAAGTTGCACCAATTGAAGGGAAATTCATCAATTTCATATTGGATATTAAAATGTTGTCTTTTCAAATAAGATATACTCAACTCTTTAGAGAATTGGGGTTAATGTGCTCAGGACATGCATAGAACATCCTTATCAACAAGATTAACTGAATTGTAAAACTTTCAAGGTAATCCTTCTGACAATTAAAGGAGATATCAAGCTATGCATCTAGATTTAAGCCTTCCACAGCTTGACAAACATGATGCACCCAGAAGTCTGGTTTCAAAAACTCCTATGAGTGAATGTAATGTGCAAATCTACACACATACTCCCATATATGAAAAACTTTGAAAATGTGATTACTCTGTCTTATGATATTACATTTGAGTCCTTCTCACACTTTGGAATAAAGAATGTTAGGTCTAAGCCATGTAGTCACAGGTCTATTAAAGAGAACTTTCAGAAAGCTGTTAGGATCAGATCTAACATGTTCTGCTGATCTTCATACAAGAGATCTTCACATAGGAGATGGTACCATTTTTATGTTCTTAATTCAAACTCCCTTCTTTTCCACTCTACTTTTTATCCTGTATTTGTTTTTTATTCTGACATGATCTATTGACATTCTTATCAAATGAGGAAATGAGGTGCCATCTTTGTATTTGTCTTCTACCTCTCTCAGCAGTCTTATGATAGTAATCCTATCTTGCCATCCATGCCTCTCTAACACTACGAAACCCAATCTATGCCTGGTTTCACCAAAGAGTTTCCACTTTTGTATTTCTCATCGTCTGCTCTGGTCCCCGCCCCAGCTTGACATCTAGAGTAATCTTCTTGAATATAATCAGCTTCCCATTCCTAAGACATATTCAAGACACTTCTGGCTAATGCAGTTCTTCTGACCCCTAATCCTGTCCCCATTACATTATACGCAGATCCTGTTGTAGCTCCACCCCTTTTACATTTAAACTTATTCTCAGATTCTCTAGTCCTACTTGTCCCTGATTCTGCCCAGGCTTGACTGTAATTACATTACCAGATTGATGCTAGCCTCGGTAGTCAAGCAACATAGACTCTTTCATGTTTTTTTACTGTTCTCCGTTGTCTGTACTAATGCATACTGTGTCATTAATGTTCACATCCACATTTTGTCACAAGATTCTTTTCTACCATGAGAGGAACACGAATTATTATCAGTGTTGGCAATTCCCTCTGGGTAGCCAATTCAATCATGAGTATTTAATGATTTTACCTACTTTTCTAACAGCTATATAAACAATTGAACTATGTGAACGTACATTTCTGCCACTCCTATATGTTTTTCTCCTACTTCACTTCTCCAATTAGAATACAAAACAGAAGGAAAAAAAAATACATAGGTTTCCTTATACCATGTGTAAAATCATTTATTGTGTTTTGTCCTGGGGAGATTGCAAATTCATTGGTAAAGGAATGTCAGTGTATATTTCATAGCATTTAGCATAGTGAGATATCAGTCTTATTTTGAGCATCTGATTCCCTGTTAAATAAATTACTTTAAGAAGTCTAGAGAACTGAGGTTAAGACTTCAAAAGTCTAGGTGCCAACACCTACCTAATTAGGCGAGTCTAACTTTCTGAGCAACTGAATGCATTTTAGCAATATTTGTATCATCTTATGTGCCCCTTCTCACATTTGCTTTGTGGTGCTGAGCAAGTAGCTTCACTCACTGTAAATACCTGGAAAAAAGAGCCTATTTTCACAGCTATGTAATGGAATATTAAGCAGTCATTAATTTATTATGTTTTCATAAACACAATTCTAAAAAAATGATGCAAGATCAAGAAGCCCTCCAATCAAAGCAATGTTAAACTCTTTGTATTGAAAATGGCATATATCTCTTGTATATCTTAGACCAGACTATTTTTAGTAGCTCCTTACTTTTAAAGAAGCTATATGCCTTTCAAGAATGATTGGGGGTGGTGAAGGAAACAAGTCAAAAGAGGTATTATTGGATTATTCATTCTTCTAGGACAGAACCTGTTTGTATAATCAGAGATATGCCTTAAGTGGTCTTTAAAAAAGTCAGATTTTGTTTAAAAAAGGGGAACGAGGAGGCTTCATTAACTAGACTGACAGGCTCCATAGATTTCTCAAGTGTTTAAATTAAGGATTGCAAGTTCTTGAAACTTGACAAGGAAAGCAGGATTGTCACTGCTGGCTGTCTGAACCAGAGGTAAGTGCAGATTAAGCTTTTCCTATCTCTATTATAAACATATTGCTTCAGTTCTCAAAAGTTCAGTGAAATTGAGGAGAATATTGTTTTTTTACTATTTGAAAAAGAAAAATAAACTACATCTTTACGTGTCAGCTAAAATTCTGAAGTGTGAAAAGTGCTTAGACGCTGCTCATTATTATTCTAGTAGTAACTATTTGGCATTAACATTTTTTTTTAAAGAAATAAAATTGAAATCACTAATATCTGGACATCTAGAACCAAATTATAAGGCCATGCATATTAAGCATACCATACTTTGAAATATATGTAAATGTTTCTGAAGATCTTTCTAGAGTTGTCTATGCAATTGGATTGCCCAAACACTGAGCTCATGTTGTACTTGCAAGATGTGTTTTCTGGAAACACAGACCAGTTTTCTGAAAAAGAAAAAAACCCACCAGTTCCTGCATAGCATGAATCTGTCTGTTTCTGTGGGCCTAAATCTGGCCAAACAGCCTGAATTTGAACAGCACAAATGTGCGCTATTCTGAGGGATTTTTTTTGATGCATTGGTGAGAGATAGAAAGATGGATTGGTGAAAGTAGTGTCTGCTGGGGCATATTTCTGGTTTATGCAGGCTTCCTATTCGCAAGAGCTGGAGAAGAGCTTCCATTGATTTCTTAGACCTACTCAGGACTTCTGAAAGGAGCTTCATTTTGTGTCTAGTATACCTATTGATATAGAATTATAAACTAGAGCTAATCAGACAGATGTTGCAGAGTTAGATTTCAACTCATAACATGCATGTTGCAGTATGAATGAGTATATACAAGTATTTGATCAGTCATGAATTAACACTGAAATTGTCTTATGTCTTCATCAGACCAATCAAGTAGCATTACTGAAGATGCTGGGAAGCAGTTACATTTGTTTGTATTGTAGAAACTGTAAAAAGCTATAAAAAAATCTTTTTAGAACTATTTTTTTTTTTCCGTAAAAGAAGTAGGCCCATGTACATTCAAACAAAGCACAGTCTTTCCTGTAGAACAGTGTCCTATTTAATTTTATGTCTGTACCCCTCTTCACTGAGAAGTTCTTTTTTTTTTTTTTTTTTGAAAAAAAATAGTAGTTACTCATGGATCTGACAACTTCTTATGGCAAATATCTTACTCATGTGCTTTTGTTAAACAAAAGCTAAAAGCAAATAAAC